AACAACGTAGTTGAAAACTGTCGTGGCTGACGGCCTTTCTGACAAAGGCTTGCGCATTGGAAAAAAAAATTGAATGCAAGTTGAATAGGCCAGTTTGGGATAGCACGCTTCGATGCTCCTCAGGCCCTCCTCCGCTATGCATGCTGGATGCTCAGAGCATTATGATATGCAACATATTGTGAACCCAGACGAACACCGTTTTTGGCCATGGTTCAGGCCGACCTACCGCAGCGGCTAGAGTGTGGGTTCTACCCTCAAGATGACCAGACACCTTCTGACAAGAAACACTTAGCTTGTTTTCCATTGCAGGCCCGCGGCTTAGGAACGAGTTCAATTCGGCTCTCAGAGGACGGCGATGGAATTCATCAGAAACAGCCCGCTTTGTTCAGCCTTCTTTGGGCAGGGCCCTCCATGTGGCACCGCTTGCGCCACACCCACCCAGTGCGGCGAGAGTACGCCCAAGGCCGTTGTATAGAACCACCTGAATCAAACAGTCGGGCAGGGCGTTTGAATGAGCTTTTTTGGGCACTCCAAACATGGCTGACATTACTTCTTCTCAGACAGAGGTGAACTAAGCCCTGGCTTCTCCCGGCAACAGCCGTACCTTTGTGCACTTTTCTGCCATCACGCAACGTGGCACATCTTGATCAGTGTCTTTTGGAGCCCCAATGTCTGCGTGCAGGCGGACATTGCCCACAAAGCTGTCGGCAGTGAGGGTGCCACCTACGGGCCAGCTTGCCAGCTTGCACAGGCAACTCATGTCTAGAGGGGCAACGAGGATTGTTTTGCCAGGTATTCCAAGAAGTTTGCTGAGGGATGGGAGCGCGTCTTTGCCAAGAAAGGCATGGCGCTTGACTACTGTACTTGCCAAGCATTTGTGGTCGAAGCATGTGATCTGAGGGCAGCATGCGGAAGTTCAAAAAAAGGACCTCCCTGCAGCTCTTTGGGTTGCAAGTGCGTCATTGCATGCTGGGACTGCCTCGCAAGGATGTGACTTTGGACAGCTGAACTGTAGCTGAAGCGTGTGAGCCCTGTCACCACCACAGGTCGCTCGCAACAATCTGTGGCCAAAAAAGTTGCTGTGGCACCCGCAAACTCCCACACTTGATGCTGGGAACTGCTGTGGAGATATGATGTTGGCGGTGTGTCACTGAAGCTTTGTGTGCACTTATGTGATGTTATATGCACTTGTGTGCACCTGTGTGCAGTTGTGTGCTGAGTGTGCCATGTGTTCAGCTCGAATGTATGCGCACGAGATCATATAGCGATGGCCTCGGCAACGGGCAGAAGATGGAAATTGTCGTTGTCTCAGTGTGTACGGAGTACAGCCTCTTTCAAGTGATTCAGACACATACACACAGATAATACGAACTCTCAACAGCATGCTGGAGGCGCTGCCCAACGCTGCGCTGCCCGATTCGTAGATCTCGAGGCTCCGTGCATGCAACTGCTTGGAGCCGATGCACTTACAAGACGGTCTGAACTAAGTCTGTTGAGTTCGCAGTAGTGTTCAGAGAGTAACTTTGGGTTTATCTGATTCAGAGGGTAGATGAAGGTAGTAGCTGTGCTGATTGCTAGGACCTATGCTGCTAGGAACGGCATTGGGGAGTTTCATGATGTAAGCCTAGAGCTGAGCGACAGGTACCAACACTGCGCAAGCTTCCCAGCTTGCTGAGTCATCACAGGCGGAGGGTTTGCTAGACTGTCACGCACTTGTGATATTTTCAAGGCAATGTCCAAGACTGTGCGTATCCAGCTGCAGTTGGTACCTGACTGTAAGGCAGCGAATCTTGTCTCAGCTTGGTTTACAAATTTGCTCAGAAGTTGGAAAAAACTTCTTCACTTCACATCTTGGAGCCTCAGTGTGTTTCGATTCCTGCGAGGTCAGCCTAGGCCTTGACTTGGTCTTGATAGCTCTAACATAAATATTCTCTTTTGGCATCTTGCATTGAATCCGTCTGCCAAGTGTCCGATGACTAGTGACTGATCTGCATTCTTACAGTCCGACACGTTCTAGAATGGATCGGGTTACACGCGACGTGTTTTCTACTTCCGTTCCTGCTGCTAAGAGCAGGAGTTGCTGCTGTTTCTTGTTCTGCTCAGGCACAAACCTTGAACACGAACTGCGCTCTGCACAGCCAATGCTCGTCAGCACAGCGTGTCCAACAGTAGTATTGGATAGTATCGCTATTGGGTCATTTACATGCGCTCGGCTTGGAGGCGACTTCAAAAGCTTCGGAGCAAGATGCT